AGAGAATAAAATAGTGGTAGTTCCAAATTTTTATGTCACATGATATAATCACAATATCATGGAAAAGATGAGGTTGCATCGAGTAAATAGACATCCAGCATGTCAAACCTTAAATTTGCTTCCGCTCATGAAATGGCAACAAACTATAATACCTTACATTTTCTATAGTGGACACTTTTAAAGCCCCCTATAGTTCATTAGCGTTAGAGGAGGTCAGGTGCTAAAATTATTGCTCTCATTCTTATGTGGGTGGTGATATGTAACCTGTGTATCTCAATTGTTTTCATGTGTAGGCGCCCCAATGTGTGCTTTTACGTTTGTACGTGCGTACATATGTGGGGGGCCTTGAAAATTTTTGGAGGGGTTATATGCTTGGGTGTAACTTTAATTTTTCTTAAATAAAATTTTTTTTCTTTTACTTAACTTTTTTTTTTTAACATCACATAGGGGACAAAATGTGATGATTTTTTATTGAGACAGCCAAGGTCTATAAGATGCTAAATGTCTCCATGTACTACACTGAACGTAATGCAGTGCACATCGCACTGCATTACACCCTTTCACTCCCTCGATGGTAGGGAAATGTGTCAACAGGAACCTGGAAGTGACATCACATCATTTCTTGGTCAGGACAAGAAGGGGAGGGGAGCGGATGTGTCCGCTCTCCTCCCTCTCCTATACCCGCCGGCACCCACTGAACTGGTCCCGGGCCTGCCGATGGCCAAGTGGAGCCCAGGAGACATAGTGAGCAGGTGGGGTGGAGGCTGGCACCGTAGTGGGCTATGTGGAAGCAATTGAGTGGCAGCGCTGGCGCCTGAATACTTCCACTTGACAAATGAGCCCTGCTGCTTGCTCACAGCAGGGGGCTAAAACAACCTACCTGCCCAGAACTACATGTCCTGGGCGTTGGGCAATATGAATCGAACATCCCTGTATTACTATTATAGATACTTAAATAGTGCCTTCAATTTACATAGCGCTTTACGTATATACATTCACATCAGTCCCTAACCCTCAAGGAGCTTACAATCATCTAAGGTCCCTAACTCACATTCATACATACACATACAAGGGCCAATTTAGACAGGAGCGAATTAACCAACCAGCATGTTTTTGGAATGTGGGAGGAAACCTGGGTACCTGGAGGAAACCCACGCAGACACAGGGTGAACATGCAAATTCCTGACAGGTGGTGCAGTGGTTGGGTTTGAACTGACGGCCCTAGCGCTGCCAGGCGAAAGTACTAACTATTTAGCCACTATACTACCCATATGCCACCAAGAACTTGTAACCCCGGGGTACAGGTAACTGAACTGTACAATATACAGACCAATCACCTCTGTTGATATGATACCAGTTTGTTGTTGGAGCTTTTGCAGATATGAAGGATAATTTCTATTTTACATGGTTTGCATTCCTCAGTCCTTCAGTGACTATATATACCAAGTAGAGCTTTTACGAGTTGCTGGAAGTTTAGGGTTGTGCACTTTGCAGCATGCTGGGAAAATAACCAACATAACTGGAGATGAATGGCTCTTTTATCACATGCTGTGTTTCTTATAAACAATCCTGTTTATAGTGAAAGTGGCCTGCTAGATAGATACATTGTTATACTTAGTGACAGCTCCTGTTTTTGTATCAGAAATAAGACTAAAGCACTCCTTTGATGTTGCAACCTTTTCGTTTACTGAGATGTAACACATTACTGGCTTGTGACATAAATGTACAGATTTGAGTAGATAAGATGTGACCTGTAGAAAATATGACAATGTAAAATCTAGTTCATTCCTTGTCATTAAAGAAATATTCAGTCAAAGGTACTCAGAGACAGATGGTCATCAATTAGCATCTGAAAAGAGACAGAGCTTCCTCAGGCTGGAAGTGGCACCTGGGTGCTAATAAGGTTTGTCACCTTCTGGGGAAACCAGGAAGGAAATGGCTGGAGACAGGTTGGCTTCATGACAGCGGGAGACCAGAACTTTGAAGTATATCAGGGGATCAAAGGAAATGTTTCATCTCTCATAAAAGCTAAAATATTAGTTGCAGAAAGATGAAAATACTTCCTTCTGATTGGGCACTCTGTGGGTTACATCTGCATATAAAAACCGTATTTGTGTCTTAGGTAGAATGCCAGAAAAATGCAGGAAATGGTTATGTGGCGCTGGAGTGCGATAGCAGAACAGTGATTGGTACTGTCGCGATTGGACGGATGCGCTGGTGTCGGAAATTCAATCCCCGACTTGGTGATTCAAGGCGGTCTTGGTCCAATTGACTTTGGGCAGGTGAGCACCCAGAACATCCTGTGGGTGGGTACAGGAACACCCCCCAGGGTCAATTGGCCAAGAACTAATGTCTCGCCTACGTCCATATCCCCATAAATTGAGGACTCTGACATTGGGACATGTTGATTCGTATGGAGCCGGTTCGATTTGACTGATGGATTGCTGACTCTCCCTGACTTGCTCCAGTCGCGGGATAGATCTTGGTAAAAGTTTTATCTCTGTTTTTTATTCCCTTTTATTTTATAGTGAATATTCTATGTGTGTCTTCTTGTATTTTTTTGTAACTTTTTATACTTTGTACATATTTTATGCACTGCCCACTCTCAGGATATTAAATCTTAAAATTAATTAGTGACTTCTGTGTACTTAAGCGGGCTCATATCTTCTAAAAGATTAGATTGTATTGTATTTTAGTGCTTTATATGCTCGGTCAAGCTCATTGCCAATCTGTATGCAATTGCACTGCGTGTGGGCAGATTGCGTGCAGATTGTAAAAGGTAACAGATCTGCCAGACGGAGATCTGTGTGTGTGTGGTGTCCCAACAGACCATTCTGCGGATAAACTGTTGGGTGGTGGCAAGCTACCGTTTGTGGTGTGTCTGGTCTGGTGTGGGGGGGGGGGGGGGGGGGGGGTGTGGACAGTGGAAGAGTGATTAACACCGGGGTTCTGGCTTGTAGGATAGCTGGAGGGATCCTAGAAGGTTGTGCGATTGCTAAGCTGCTCCTCAACTCTAATTAGTGCACCAGATTGTATGTGAGATTTGTATCTGCCAGTGTGTGGTCAGCCATCTGAATTGGAGTGGAGTCTCCCTCCGGTGGTGTCCAAAAGGTAGTGCGGGCTGTGAAAGTGTATCACGGCTGGTCTTATATACTGTTTTATATATTCAAAGGTAAGTCCCCCTTATTCCCTCTTACCCCAAGTCACGGCCGCACATGCGCGCCTCGGTTAGCTAGTCGCTGTGGGCGTGGCGTGTGGGTGAATCCGTGACAGAGATACATTGTTATACTTAGTGACAGCTCCTGTTTTTGTATCAGAAATAAGACTAAAGCACTCCTTTGATGTTGCAACCTTTTCGTTTACTGAGATGTAACACATTACTGGCTGAAACAGGATCACATTGTTACAAACTGCATTTTGTTATTTACTACTTGCTTTTACTTTTAGGCTTCATGCACACTAGTGTTTTTTTTTTTTTTTTTTTTTTTTTTTTTTAAGATAAAAAACGCTGGTGATAGCTTTTTTTTAGAAGCTCATTAGAAGCGTTTAGCAGCGCTAGCGTTTTATTAGTATTTTTACAGTACATGTAGGAAAAAAGCTAGAAAAAAGTTGCTAGGAGCATTTTAGTCGCATTTAGGAGCATTCAGCATTTTGTCTGATGGCAAAACGCTCCCAGAAACTCTATAAAAATTATTTTTTTTCTGCTCCTAAACGCTGAAGCTTGAAAAACACTAATAGCCTAAAATAGTGTGCATGGACACATAGGCTAACACTATTATTAAGCTTCTAGGAGCAGAAAAAATGCTGATAGCAGCTTCTAGGAGCTTAAAAAAACGCTAGTGTGCATGGAGCCTCAATTCAGGGAATACATTATGTTTAATTAAATTAAATATCCTTCTACCTTAATAATATATATTTCAGGTACTTATATAGCACCGTCAATTTTACGCAGCGCTTTACATATATATATATTGTACATTCACATCAGTCCCTAACCCTCAAGGGGTGTACAGTCTAAGGTCCTTAACATACATACACATACTGGGGCCAATTTAAAAAGGAGCCAATTCACCTACCATCATGCTTTTGGAACATGGGAGGAAACTCATGCAGGCCCAGGAAGAACATGCAACTCCAGGCAGGTGGTGCCGTGGTTGGGATTCAAACCAACGACCCTAGTACTGCCAGGCAGAAGTGCTAACCATTTAGTCACTGTGCTATATACACACTGTTTATCCTGCCAGTATATTGTATTTAAAGATAAACTCAAGGCTGGTGTAAACAACACAAATAAATAAAGCTTAGTAACCATTACAACACTTATTTGTTGAATGCAAGCTGTGTAAATACCTGCATTCGACCTGGTTTGGGCCTTCTGCAGACCTTGTATAACAGAGCTGGAGTATGAGAGGAAGTAGAGCAGTATAAGGAGGCAGTCAATTCATGTGCTTGCTGTTATAAGGGGAGAAAGCAGAGAGACAGAGAGATGAGCTCACCACTGTGCTGCTTCCCAATTCAAAGTACTGTCTGGGGTAGGTGCATAATGACCTGGGCTCAGAAGAAGTGGGTTGAATCATGTTGGCCATCAGAATGACGCCTAGTGGTAGAAATTAAGTACTGCAAGAAAAATCTCTAGTTTGAAGGTGAATATTGTAGCAAAATACATTTTTAGCTTGGTGTTTTTGGCTGGAGGATGGTTTTAACTAAATGACAGACAAATTGAAGCTTAACTCCAGCAAACACATTTTAGGCAACTACAGCCACATATTTTTGTTTTGTAAAAGCTGACTCTTTCAGGCACTGCTGGAAGTGACATGCAGTTTGTTTTATGTAAATAAATAAGAAAAATATATGTAAAAATCATATACTGAATACTATTATGAAAGGTATCCACTCTATTTAGTTACCAGAATACAATATTTTTCACTAGTGGTTAACACTAACTGTTTAATCTTTATATGTTATCTCTCTGCAGCTCTTTATGGTGAAATCCGCAGAACATGCCGCGTAGTCCCACTTCCAGTGAAGATGAGATGGCGCAGAGCTTTTCAGATTATTCAATGGAGTCCGAATCTGACAGCTCAAAGGAGGAGACTATCTATGACACCATCAGGGCAACGGCCGAACGTCCAACCAGCAGGCTGGAGGATATTCAGACAAACACCATGGTCATCAGGATTGTAATCCCAGACCTGCAGCAAACAGTGAGTGCTAGTCCTGGAGAAGACTCCATTCTTGTTTTATAAGCTCTGTATGATAGGAGTATAGTGATTCCAGCAACCTCTCACACAGCACAAAGCATGTTGTATCTATACCAATGGTTACCCCAGAGATTATCTTCATAATGATACCCAATCATTATTTGGTGATTCCAACCATGTTAAAGGGGGGCTAATCTACCAAAAATCTTTGCAAACAAAATTGGAACATAAGCTGCTGGTAATTACTTATATCAAAAGATATTTTGATTTACTGGATAATTGTATTTATATAAAAATAGTTCTCTTGCCTAATTGTTCTGATGTCTATACTGAAAGGATTAAATGGAATATAACTGAATCCATTTTGTATACACTAATACAAGATGCTAGTTTAACATACATATATGAGATATGTACACACTAACAAAACTGTCTATGCCAACTTCATGTAGAAATGAGTGTTTTTGCAAACTTTACAAAAAAGCAGATAAGGTTTACTCTCATTTCTGAAAAGTTTTAACCACAACTTGGGTGTTGGGTCAGATTACAGCCATGGTCTTGGGTGTTGGGTCAGATTACAGCCATGGTCTGGGCGATAGACTAGATATGGCATGATAGATAAAGCAGAAGAGTGAAAATGCAAACCTCATACAAATAATTGTTGAGTTAAGGTAAAAAAATGTATTGATTGGATGGTCTGAGGGTGTGTTTGCCCAAAGACTACAGTATAATAACCCTGATGTTATGCCAATAAAACTGAAGTGTTTGCAATCGCAACTGAGGTGACTTGAGTGCATTCACTTTCCGAGATCTTGTAGCTGTGTCCAGGTGTGACCGTTGGTATCTTGAGAGGGCCCCCAAGGAACAGGAAAAAGACCACCTACCTACTTTCATATACCTGTTGTGACATGGGGTAGTTAGCTCTCCTGGTAGATGCGTTATTTTAGTCCTCGGCAGACAGGAACTATTTTTAAGGTCTTTGTAATCCATTTTTATTTAACTGAAAAGCAAAAGTTCACGAATGAATAATTTCCCATGCAGGGGATCTTCCCCAACTTCAAGAGAAATCCATACACTGGTAAATGCTGAGCCACCTGCCTCATAAGCTCACTCAATTGCAATGCCTGTCCTGGATACTTGACTCTCTAGCCTTTAGACACAGCGCCCTGCTGTAAGGCCTATGGATGGGGGTCTCCTAACACCCTGATAGGGGCAAACCTAACTCCTGGAACTGAGACCTCTGTCTCTTGACTTCTGGCTGGGTCCTCTGCCCCTTCGATGAGATCTCCGGTCTCCCCCACTAAGAGCAGTCTCCAAATGGGAGCTATTCTCAGACCCAAGTATATAATGATACCTCACAGCTGTGTTCCAGATTGCATTTGTCTAGCAAAACCTGGACACAGGACTGAATGTTCCGATCCAGAGCTGCAGAATCCAGAGAACGCCAAATCCACAGCTTTCTCAGAAACACTAGTCTGGAACATCGCATTCACCCTAAGTGATAATCCTGTGCCACATTTTCCTTTCTTCTTACAGTGACAGGCTTTCGTCCTGTCACACCATTATATTGATGGATACTTTTAAACCTTGACTAATCTAATGCAGGCCATAGACGGTTCGTTTATATTCTGATTTTACGTCCGAAAAATTAAACATCGCTCGTTCTGTAAACCAATGTTGCCACCAATGATTGAAAAATTGGACATTTTTCACAAATTTTCCAGCATGACTGATAAACGAAATAAGGAGGAACCGTGAAAAATTGGCCAATGCCATTGCCCCACTAACAGTGCCAAAAATCGGCCGATAAATGAACCATCTATGGCCTGCATAACTCAGTGAATGAAAAAGAATACTACATACTCTATATTGTCAAAAGTATTGGGACACCCCTCCAAATCATTGGATTCAGGTGCTCCAATCACCTCCATGGCCACAGGTGTATAAAATCAAGCACCTAGGCATGCAGACAGCTTCTACAAACATTTGTGAAAGAATGGGTCGCTCTCAGGAGATCAGTGAATTCAAGCCTGGTACTGTGATAGGTTGCCACCTGTGCAATAAGTCCATCTGTTAAATTTCCTGGCTACTAAATATTCCAAAGTCAACTGTTAATGGTATTATAACAAAGTGGAAGCAACTGGGAACAACACTAACTCAGCCACGAAGTGGTAGGCCACGTAAAATGACAGAGCGAGGTCAGTGCATGCTGAAGTGCACAGTGCGCAGAAGTCACCAGCTGTCTGCAGAGTCAATAGCTAAAGACCTCCAAACTTGGTGTGGCCTTCATATTAGCACAACAACAGTGTGTAGAGAGCTTCATGGAATGGGTTTCCATGGCCAAGCAACTGCACCCAAGCCTTACATCACCAAGTGCAATGCAAAGCCTCAGGTGCCGTGGTGTGAAGCATGTCGCTACTGGACTCTAGAGCAGTGGAGACGCATTCTCTGGAGTGATTAATCATGCTTCTCTGTCTGGCAATCTGATGGATGTGTCTGGGTTTGGCAGTTGCCAGGAGAACGGTACTTGCCTGACTGCATAGTGCCAAGTAAAGTTTGGTAGAGAAGGGATTATGGTGTGGGATTGTTTTTTATGGGTTGGGCTTGGCCCCCTAGTTCCAGTGAAAGGAACTCTTAAGGCATCAGCATACCAAGATATTTTGTTCAATTTCATGTTCCCAACTTTGTGGGAAGAGTTTGGGGATGGCTCCTTCCTGTTCCAACATGTCTGTACACCAGTGCACAAAGCAAAGTCCATAAAGACATGGATGAGCGAGTTTGGGTTGGAGGAACTTGACTGGCCTGTACAGAGTCCTGACCTCAACCCGATGGAGCACCTTTGGGATGAATTAGAGCGGAGACCTCACAAATGCGCTTCTGAAAGAATGGTCAAACATTCCCATAGAGACTTCTAAACCTTGTGGACAGCCTTCCCAGAAGAGTTGAAGCTGTTATAGCTGCAAAGGGCGGGCCAAGTCAATATTGAACCCTATGGACTAAGACTGGGATGCCATTAAAATTCATGTGCGTGGAAAGGCAGGCGGACCAATACTTTTGGCATTATAATGTAGGTTACTTTCCATGAAAATTACATGTTAAAATGATCAGTAGATTGACAAACATAGTTAGCTGAAATGAATTCTTGACTTTCCTTGTAAAGATTGTCCTTTCTTCCCTTTTGGTATATGAAGCTACCAATCACTTTAAATGTTTGAGAGAGCTTTGACAGGTGTGAGGGTATGGGTCCAAGCTTGCTTTTACGGAAAACTGCCTATAGCTGCATACAGGGGTTAGACAGAAAAAAATGGAAACACTTCTTGATTTGCAGGTGTGAAAGTGACCACATGTTTCCTGTTGAAAGCAGAAGTAATGTAAAATTCTTTTGCTTCTGCTGTGTGATGAGACACCTAGCTTCACTTTCATCATTCACTGTGTGCACTGCTAGTAATATGGAGTCATGTCAGAGCTTACTGAGATTAAAAGAGGACAAATTGTTGGTGTCACTTAGCTGGTGCCTCTGTGACTGAAGTTTGCAATTTATTTGCCGTTCCGCGGGGTACTGTAACAGGTTATGACGGCATACACAGACATGCGCAAGCGCGGTCGACATGGCTAACTGACTGAAGGAGATAAAAGGACATTGTGCAGGATTGTGACCCGGAATAAGAAAACTGCTGCAAAAGTGAAAAATGTTTTACCTTTCATTTCTATTTTAAACTGCATAGGTTGTTTTACAAGGGAGGGTTTACATACAATTTAAAGCTCCAATTTACACAGAAAATCCTGAAGCAGACAGTTCTGTTCCCTCTTCCCCACACTCAAATATTGGATCCTGTTCTGATAAGACTTTTCAGCTTGGACTGATTCACATTCAACAGTAAATATTTCATAAATTGCCTGCATGCGGTGATTAAACCATAGTTGCACTGCAGAATGAAGAAGAAGGCGGCATTGTACAGCCTACAGGACACAATCTCAATGTGTTTTGGGCGGATTTCCACTTCTAAAGTCTAATAACACAAATTGGGTTATAAAGAAGAGTGTAGGACAGAGCTACCGGCAAATTACATTTCTTTTTTCAGTGAGGGGGAGGTAATGCTCTGTGGAGACATAACAAAAATAACATGTTTGTGGATCTTTTTTTTAAATTAATCATATAATTGCAGTTTCAGCAGTGATCAGATGTTTTCGTTTGCAAGATCAAAATCAAATAAATTCAATTTGTTTAGGGCTGCTAGTGGACTTACTTTGGTTGTTTAGGACCCAGTGGTAATACCCAAAGTTTGTCTTAAAGTGGAACATAATTGCATCTGAGCACCAAAAACTGAAAACTGCATTTAATCCATTTTCGATATTGAAAGCAAACTCATCTATGTCTCCATGCTTTATTGTTGAGATATTGCTTTAACTAAACAGCCCCTTAGCATTTCTAGCCGCAGCCATCTTGAATAAGGACAGATGATTCATGTAGCATTTACATCATGGAATCCATCTGCCCTTAGCTCAGGTATGCAGTCAAGAGGGTGTGCATCTTCCCATCCTCCAGATGAAAGAAAAAAGAAAGACCCATGAAGTCCTGGGATGTGCTTCCTTCCTGCAGTTATAGCAGTTTTATCCCTTTCTCACCCTATTCAAAAACTCAAATGGCTTTTCATACACTGAAAAAAATAACGCCATTCATGTTTTCTTTTTTCTTCATAGTCCAAAAAAAAATAAAAAAAAATATAAAATATATATATATATATATATATATATATATATATATATATATGACACACTTCATAAACTATTCTGGTTTCCCAAAAGAATCAAAATCATGCTCATAATTGGCAAACTCATTCTTGCATTATCTAAGGCAACATGCTTTTAAAAACTAGTTCTGGATGCAGGCTTTTTACCCTTGTGTAGATCTGTCACTTCCACACAATAATGTTGAGATGCCACTGTCACGGCTTGCTTTCAGCATGCCCGTAAAGCAGTAATTCCCATCTTCCTTCTCTGAG